TTTTTTTTTTTTTGTTCTTTATAATTTGGCATAATTTCAAAATTGGTCCTATAATTTGACCACTTTTCAAAGAACTACCCCGATATTGACCACTTCCAAACTTGGTCCTATAATTTGATATTTTAATCAAATTTGGTCTTTTTGTAATCAATTTGGTCCTTTAATTTGATATTTTGGTCCTTTTTTAATCATATTTTAATCCATGTTCTAGATAAAAAAGACCAAATTTGATTAAAATGTCAAATTATAGGATTAAGTTTGAAAGTGGTCAATATCGGGGTGGTTTTTTAGAAAGTGGTCAAATTATAGGACCAATTTTGAAATTATGCCTTATAATTTTGTTTGGATTTTTTGGTTTGGAATGGTGGTATGGTAAGTTGTTAGTGTGATTTTGAGTTTATATTAAAATAATATTTAAAATAAAATAATAGAAGTTGATTTGATGTAAAAGTATGTGAGAAATGATGTGAAGTGATAGTTAGATAAATTTTTGTGAGTGGATGAATAGTGAATTAAATGATTTAATGTGTAAGAATGATTGAATAGTATTATTTAATTATATTGATAATATTGAAAATAGTGAGATTCAGATAAAAAAAAGAGGTTGGTTAAAAATGCTTGAAATTTATTTACAAAATTTTATATCCAAGCATAGTCTAAAGACTTTTTAAGACTTCAGAAATCTGGTATATTTAATTTAGACTTTTGAAGACTTTTAAAAATTTTGCGGTATTCATTTGCGATTTTGAAAAGTCTTACAAGATTGTGAGCTATTTAACTTATTTGAGACTAAAATCTGTTAAGATTTATTGAATTTCTAAAGAAAATCTGAAAACTAACTCCAAATCCCCTAAAGACTTATAACGGTGTATTCATTTTTGATTTCTAGAAACTTTTTAAAATTTTAGAAATCTTGATGTATTTAATTAAGACTGTTTATGTTTTTTACATCATGTATACATTTGACGTTTTAAGGAGTTTTCCAGTCTTCAGATATTTAACTATTTGAGACTAGAGTCGCCTCCTCCATCTTCTTCGGTCAGTGGGCCTTCCCCAACAGAAATACGTGCTCTTTGCCGGCAATTGGCCATGTCCGCATGACTACGCCCCGTTTCAAGTGCCACTTTTCACCATTTAGACTCAGTGGCGACAAATAGACATTTGCTGCTGGGTTCGCCGCTGACTAGTGTCAGCTTGCGGTTGTGGCTCATCGGCGGCCCTGGAGTCGAGGTAGTTCTAGGCGGTGGCTGGGTGTGGCTCGGGAAGCAAGTGGCGTTTGTTTCATGGTGGCAGGGGCTGAGGTACGACTTTTCTCGCTCCCTGTTTTACCCTGAATCCTTGGTGTGCGGAAGAGGGGTGGCCGACACTGTCGAATCATGGCCAGTGGTGTTGGTCGGGTCCGGCGTGATGGTGGTGTGCGGGGGTGCGATGTGCGTGATCCTCCGGCTGTGGGCGGGGTCGTCTATCTGGAATGGTTCGGGGTTCGGGACTCGACTTCATTTAGGCAATTTTCGGGACTTTCGGGAGTTGTTTCTCGGGTTGCGGTCAAGTCCGTTTAGGTGGGCGATCACGGGACTGGTGATGTTTCATGGTGGGTCATGGATTTACTGTTGTGGGAAGAGCTTCTGTTTTGGTTTAGTTTTCGTTTAGGTGTGTTTTTAGTGTTTGTGTTGTTTCATTTGTGTTTTATCTTTTTCTCTCCCGTTAGGAGTGTGTTTGGTGTATTCTTGTGTTAGGAGTTGTTTGTTTCTTCTTTTTTTGGGAGCTTTTTAATTGTGTTTCTGTTGTAGGTTGACTCTAAGGTGACGTCTGTCTGTACGTGTTGTCCTCCCTACTAGAGTCAGTTGTTCAACATATTCAGCCGTTGACCGTATATTCGACTGAGTAGTTATTCTTAGTACATGTGTGCTGTTAATATAAATACTTCCTACCGTTCTGTTTTTTTTTTAAAAAAAAAAAAAATTCCACCTCCAAACTTAAGGATTACTTCTAAATCTTAAATCTTAAGAAATATCATATCTTAACAGGTCTCAAAATGTCATATGAAATTTCAAAAGAATGCACCCCTTAGAATATCACAATATTTTCCTAAATTTTAAAAAATCTCAATTTTCGCAAAATGTCATTGGAAACCCCAAAATAAGCATCGTTATCATAAGGGTGGGTCGCCAAAAGTCCACCACCCAAGCCAAAGAAGCGATCAAGAAATTCAATATTTGTGTAAAAATAAACTTGAAAAATAGCAGTAAAAGAATACCAAAAAGAAAGTAGACATACCAACATACTATCAAACAGAAATTCATTGGAATTATCAAATGACTCACTTATGGAGTCATCTATAACTTTATGTACTGATACATGTTTGAGAATAACCGTGGATGACTCTATAAACAGAACCATTCCATCTGATGACTCTATAGCAAACCGGATTATCAAAAGGAGGAAAAAAGGACAAAGAAATACAAAAGAAAGAGAGAAATAAACACGAGAAGGAATCAGTATTATTAACCAAGACAGTTGTATTTACGACTTTTCTGTTTTCTGTAACAGCATAAACAGCAAGAAAGTTGATTTAGGGAAAAAGGAAAAGAGAGAAAGAAGATCGTACTTGTAATTCATATATCTGCGGTAATAGAAGGGGCAGAAGAAGTAAAGGGGCGATCTGAAGGCAAATGGGAACGCTTCAAACATGGAGAAAAGCATACGGCGCTCTCAAGGACCATACTCAAGTCGGGCTTGCCCATGTCAACTCCGATTTCAAGGTCTCATCCATGAATTTATCTTTGAACCGGAAATTTATAGTTGTTGTTTGGGGTTTGTTTCGATGATTAAGTAGAGTACATATCAAGAATTAGTGTATGAAAATTGTTATATCGTGTTCTTGGGGTTTTGATTTTTTCGATGATTAAGTAGAGTACATATGAAGAATTAGTGTATGAAAATTGTTATATCGTGTTCTTGGGGTTTTGATTTTTATTTTCTTACTTAGAAACATTTGGTTTCGGTGGTGTCTAAAAATAGGATGTTGATGTAGCGATCGTGAAGGCTACGAATCATGTGGAGCATCCACCCAAAGAAAGACAACTCAGAAGTGAGTTTTCTGTTTTTCTGTTCTCTTTTTTTCCGAATTCGTCATTTTGTTAGATCTGTTAGTTTATGTCTCCTGCATTATGTGAGGAATACTTGGTTCTGTGTTTTAATTTTTTGATTGGAGTATACATTATGAGTTTTTCATATTGTGGTTCATTGATTTGTTGGGTGGAACGTAATGTTGGTTTTCTCTAAGGATACGTGTGGGGGGCTTTTGTTTTAGGAGAATCTCTTTGCTTAAGTTATCTTTTTTAGTGGGAAGTATGAAATTTTTCGACTTCCATGTACCATATGGGAAGAACACGAGCTTTTCTTCTTGTGGTGTAGAGATTTTGTGGAAATCTCACCATTGTATACGAGTTCTTCTTTCCAGTATTGTCTGAACTGAAAGTTGATCTCTTACAGTTTAAGAAATTGTTGAAAATGTGTGCACTAGCAATATTGTTACTATTATGTGTATGCCTCTTGCAGAAATTATGGTTGCCGCATCGTCTATGCGCCCCCGGGCTGACGTTGCATACTGTGTACATGCACTTTCAAGACGACTAGCAAAGACTCATAATTGGACGGTATGGATTTTGGTCTAATAGGGCCTGATGCTTTTGTGTATCAGCCAGTTCTTTCTCTATTTACGTCTTTCACCTTAATCTTACTATGGACCAAATTCGAATCTCATTTTTCTATTAATTGTTTCATTATCTTTCTAATGAGTGGGATGGGGGTTTGAACCTTCACATGTGTTAATAACTACTTAGGTTGTCCCTCTTCTTTTTGTCAACAGGTTGCGTTGAAGACATTAATAGTGATTCATAGGACACTAAGAGAAGGTGATCCTGTGTTTAAGGAGGAACTCCTGAATTTCCAACAGAGGGGCCGTGTACTTCAGATGTCTAATTTCAAGGATGATTCAAGCCCTATTGGTTTGTTACCACTTGCTTTTAGTAATGGAAATATATAGACGACTGTTCTTTTAGGGCTGTTAATCCATATTATTTATATGTTGCAGCTTGGGATTGCTCTGCATGGGTAAGAACGTATGGGCTCTTTCTGGAAGAACGTTTAGAATGCTTCAGGATACTTAAGTATGACATTGAAGCAGAACGTCTTCCTCACCCTGCACAAGGACAAGATAAGGTACTTGTTTTTTTGTCTTATGAATAATATTCATATAATTTTTCCTCACGGTCAGATGTGTCCTTTTCATTTACCTATGACGAATCTTGCAATATATAGTCTGTTGCTGTTGTTTTATGTATTATCCTAGAAATAGTTTTCTACTGGAATCACAGAAAACTAAGTGCATGTTTACATGGATGATGCTCTGGTTCTTTGAGAATGAGCATTATTTAGGTCACTCTTAAGTTTGGTAGCAAGACTTAGAACAGAATCAGTGGAAGTTATCCTAATATTATCATTTTCGTGCTAAACTCGTGTAAGGCAATGCATGGTTTAAATATTTAACCTGGACTTGATTCCATTGTTTAGACCTTATAAATTCAGAGAATCTCATGTCTAATTAATTATTTTGTCCGCAGGGTTACAGTAGAACAAGGGACTTGGACAGTGAAGACCTTTTAGAACAGTTGCCTGCTTTGCAGCAGCTTCTGTATCGTCTTATTGGGTGTCGGGTGGATTTTCTCAAATACTATACTATTTATTACCGTAACATGTTTTTTTTTTAGTTATTGCTTTCACTATTTGTGATTTGTTGCGTTCTAATATACACTAAAAACTATATTTAATCGACTACTTTTTATTTCAGCCTGAAGGGGCAGCTGTGGGCAATTACATAATCCAGTATGCCCTTGCCCTGGTATGTGCTCTATATTTACTTCTGTTTCCAATTATGTTTATAATGGCGGTTTTAGTTGGAAGGTTTATGAGAAAAGTAAAAACTTAAAATCGATAGTGTGATATGAAATGTATTTCCCTGGTAAAGATGGTGAAGATTACGTTGGTGACTAGGAAGGGGAGGTCTTTATTCTTTCATTTGCAACTGAGAGGAAACAGGGGAAATGATGATAGAAACACTCCTTGTGTTTTACCTTTTTGTAGTTTGGGTTCCATTTTGACAGTGACTTACTCTTTCTGTATCTTTCCTGAACCTTAGGTGCTTAAAGAGAGCTTTAAAATATATTGCGCCATAAATGATGGGATTATCAATCTTATTGATAAGGTGAAATGAATTATATATATATATATATATATATGTATATTTCTATATGTAATTGAAGACCTTATTATTTTTTTGGTCATGCTAAAAAGTTCTCCCTTGTGCTTCACTACTATTGCTTTTAGTTTTTTGAGATGCCAAGACACGAAGCCATAAAGGCCCTAGACATCTATAAAAGAGCTGGGCAGCAGGTCGGTTCTTGTACGAGTCATATTTCCATTTCTTTCTTATAGTGTCTACGAGTCATATTTCCATTTATTTCTTATAGTGTCTCTGAATTTGCTAAATAGAATTTCAAATTGATTTTCTCGCTTTATATTGCCTATAATGGATATGCTCTAAATTCAGGCCGCAAGCCTTTCTGATTTCTACGAAGTTTGCAAAGGACTTGAACTTGCTAGAAATTTCCAGTTCCCTGTCTTAAGAGAGGTAAGATAATTTATAAGGCATAACTTCTAGTCATTAGAAATTTGTTTCTAGCCCTATATGACAGTGACCAACTTTGTAATGCTTCTTCTCAGCCTCCTCAGTCTTTTCTAGTGACCATGGAAGAGTATATAAAAGAAGCTCCCAGGATGGTTCCCGTTCCGAGTGTGGCCTTGGTCAGTGTTTTGTTTTTTACATTACGTATATCGTTTTATAGCATAATTTCCCATGATGGCCTTTCTGACCTAGCACTTATCGAGAATATGATTTTGTTGTGTAATACTAGGAATATCCGGAAAGGCTGATGCTGACATATAGGCAAGAGGATGCTCCACCTGTTGAAGAAGAACAGCCACAGCCACAGGCACCACTACCACCACCGCCACCGCCTTCTGATGAAGTTGCAACCTCGACTGCTGAAGCGGCTGCTCCCCCACCTCCAGCAATCAATGCGGACACAGATGATCTATTGGTCAGTGTTTTTAATACTCTTGACTGGTTAATTACAAAAGGCTATTTTGAGGTTCAGCCCAATTACCAAATCACATTACAAATATTTTCTCTGGTTTTTTATTCTGCTTCGTGAACTCTAGAAGGTATTTATCATGTTATTGCTAAACTGAAAAGGAATTATGAATATTTGAAGGAGTCATTGTAATTTTGGAAAGTAACTAGATTGTCTTGTAAATAGGCCGTCTCGTGTGTGATATTTGTAAATATATACTGCTTTCTAGGTTTTCCTAATCAATAGTTCATTGGTTTGTGCATATAATTATTCTAGGGGTTGAGTTCCACTTCAATAGATGCATCTGTCATTGAAGAAAGCAACACATTGGCATTAGCCATAGTTGCATCCGGTCAGGGTTCCTTCTCAGAGACTTCCTATTTGTTCTCCCTCTCTTTTCCCTAAAAATATAGATTTACTAAATTATCCAAACCATGTGGCAGACACTACACAAGTCGGCTCTAATTCTCCCCAAGCACAAGATTTTGATCCGACTGGATGGGAACTTGCCCTGGTCACCACTCCCAGCACCAACTCATCATCATCAGTTCCCGAGAGGCAATTGGTATGCTGGGGTTCCTTTGCTAATTATTACTGGCTTTTTTATTAATACAACTTTTTTCCCCTCTATATTATTAATACAATTAATAATGAAAACCAATCATTACGACACATTTTTCAATAAAATTCTACTCATGCATCTATTTTAATTGGTTTATATATGAACATATATTTTAATTGGTTTATATATATACATAATACATATATATAAATTTTATAATTCATTGTATCCTTATTTGCAAAATCTTAGTTCTACCATTGTAGATATTGTCGCGAAACGGTGCGCCACTTGGCTCTACCCTTCCTCTTCCTGACATTCTCATCGTGCTCAATAAACGAAAATGTTGGAATAAATTTGTTTAATTTTTCAGGAGTTGTCTTCTCTTTGTTGTATGACATAGGTATTGGATGGAATAAAATGAAAAATATTAGTTAACTTAATTTTTGACATAAAGCTTTAACATAAAATGATGTCTAAGTATATTAATAAAAAAAAAATATTAATTATCTATTTTAAAAATGAACATTAATAAACATGATCGTGCTACATGTATATGTTGTGAAAGATTCTGACATGTATCTCTTTCATGGTCATTTGAATTGCAACAAATTATGAAGTCATGTATTTGTGTGGTTAAAATTTTTGTTAAAATTTGGTTAAATTCTCATAGCTTTTTAAAGTTGATGATTTTTTTTACTAGTAAAAAGAAAAAGACACGTTGTCTTTTGTTTGTCCTGTGTGATGACACAACAGGGCCCCTTTTGTGGCCTGGTGATTCCTTTTGAAATGAAATGACAGTCGTGTATATTATCACAAGAAAAATGTCATGTTTGTTTTGCAATTAAGTCGCATATAATGCCATGTCAGATATTGCTATTGTGTAATGTGATAGTGTTAGTGTCATATGTAATATTTTGTAAGTTACATACAGTGCTAAGGTGGTATTGCCGAAATTGAGAGTGCAATCTAAAATGGTTTGTTGCAACTGACCTGAACCAAATCGTAATTTTTGGTTTGGTTCAAAACCTTTTTAGGTATAATTCTATTCAGAGGAAATTATAAAATTTGATTTCTTATTATGTACAACTAGGTCTTTGGTAATTAGATCATAACTTCGGGACCAATTTTTGTATTAGAATTTCTTTTCTGTTTTATAACTTGGGAACTGGTGGATGAATGAATGCCAGGCTGGTGGACTGGATTTGCTTACGCTCGAAAGTTTGTACGAAGATGGCGTGTATAGAGCATCCCAGCAACCAGTATATGGAGCTGCAGCTCCTAACCCGTTTGAAGCCAATGACCCATTTTCCGTACAAATGGGTAATAATAACCCATTTGGGCCATTTCAGCCTGCTGCTTCGCATCTACAGACCCAACCTCAAAACCCTTTTGGCGATCCAACAGGATTTGGTGCTTTCCCCACTGCTGCTCACCCACAAACCACAAATCCTTTCGGAAGCACCGGACTTATATGATGTTGTAATTGCGCGCACATACACAGGATGTAATCTACTTTTCGTCTTATGAAATAGACTTTTTCGATTTTTTATTCATATATATATTTCAATTGATTGTACTCGGGAGTGATCAGACTAATATTGTCCCATAGGAAGATTGGCTTTTGAGCTTGAAATTATACACGCTTGTTTTGGGAGTTAAAATAGTTGCTGAGCAGCTATTTTTTATTAGTGCCTTCGCTGCTACATACTTTGTATTCGGTTGTGAAATTACTGCTTTGAACTTGCTGCAAGTGATGATTAGTGAAGATGTGGATTTTTCAACTAATTAATTAATTATGTTGTGGTTGTTTCCATAATTTATCAA